CCAGGCTGGAGTGCAATGGCGCGATCTCGGCTCACCGCAACCTCCGCCTCCTGGGTTCAGGCAATTCTCCTTCCTCAGCCTCCTGAGTAGCTGGGATTACAGGCACGCACCATCATGCCCAGCTAATTTTTTTGTATTTTTAGTAGAGACGGGGTTTCACCATGTTGACCAGGATCGTCTCGATCTCTTGACCTCGTGATCCACCCGCCTCGGCCTCCCAAACTGCTGGGATTACAGGCTTGAGCCACCGCGCCCGGCCCTTAAATCCCACCTCTTAAAAGGAAAAAAAGCCGGGTGTGGTGGCTCACCCCTGTAATCCCAGCATTTTGGGAGTCTGAGGCGGGCTGATCATGAGGTCAAGAGATTGAGACCATCTTGTCCAACATGGTAAGACCCCGTCTCTACTAAAAATACAAAAATTAGCTGGGCATGGTGGTGTGTACCTGTAGTCCCAGCTACTGGGGAGGCTGGGGCAGGAGAATCCTTTGATCCCAGGAGGTAGAGCTTGTAGTGAACCAAGATCGAGCCACTGCACTCCAGCCTGATGATAGAGCGAGACTCCGTCTCAAAAAAAAAGAAAAAAGTCTGGGCACAGTGGCTCACACCTGTAATCCCAGCACTTTGGGAGGTTGAGGCAGGCAGATCACCTGAGGTCAGGAGTTCGAACCCAGCCTGGCCAACATGGCGAAACCCCATCTCTATTAAAAATAAAAAAATTCACTGGGTGTGGTGGCGCATGCCTGTAATCCCAGCTACTCAGGAGGCTGAGGCAGGAGAATCGATTGAACCTGGGAGACGGAGTTTGCCGTGAGCCAAGATCTCGCCACTGTACTCCAACCTGGGCAACAGAGCGAGACTCCATCTCCAAAAAAAACAAAAAACCACTGTTTTTCATAGGGACAAGCACCTGTGAGACACTCCTTGAATTGGAGTGCTGGAGTGGGAGACAGAGAGGCCGGAGGATGTGTTTAACGTTCTCTCCCCACCAACCCTGGAGGACTTGAAACAAAGTATTTCTGTCTCCCTCCCTACTGTATTCCCAGAGCCTAGACAGGCCTGGAACACAGTAAGTGCTCAATAACATTTCTCCCTCGCTAGAGAGGGGCAGTAAATATGGGGCACTCCGGGGGACTGGACGTCAACATAACTTCCACTGCCATCTCCCCACAAGACATTTTTTTTTGAGGCGGAGTTTTGCTCTTGTAGCCCAGGCTGGAGTGCAAGGGCGCGATCTCAGCTCACTGCACCTTCTGCCTCCCGGGTTCAGCCAATTTTTCTGCCTCAGCCCCCAGAGCAGCTGGGACTACAGGCGCACGCGCCACCATGCCCAGCTAATTTTTAAAATATTATTAAGTAGCGAAGACATGTTTTCACCATGTTAGCCAGGCTAGTCTTGAACTCCTGACCTCAAGTGATAAACCCACCTCTTCCAAGGTGCTGGGATTATAGGCATGAGCCACCGTTCCTGGCCCCCATAAGAACTTTTAGGTGTACTTCAGCCTGGGGTCCCTGAACCTCTTGGGGGTGTTCAGTGTCTGTGAACTTTGATGGAGGGAAAAAATTCACATCTTTCTTTTCACTGACTCATATTTACCATTTCCGCAATTATGAATGAAGACAGCAGCAGGACCTGGGACTTTGTCCATTTGTACCTAATAAAAGCCACAGATACTTTCAGATTGCATTGTAACTGGAAACACACCCCAACACTTGTCACTACTGCAAAATCACTGTGATTATTAGACCGTATTTAATGCGGTGATAAAAATAAAATTACAGGCCAGGCGAGTTGGCTCACACCTGTCACCCCAGCACTTTGGGAGGCCGAGGCGGGGGGACTGCTTGAGCCTGGGAGCTTGAGAGCAGCCTGGGCAATATAGGGAGACCCCCTTTCAAATAACAGTAATTATTATAATAATAAAATTAGATAGGATGCGATGGCTGTAATTCTAGCACTTTGGGAGGCTGAGGCAGGTAGATCACATGAGGTCAGGAGGTCAAGACCAGCCTGGCCAACACGGGGAAACACTGTCTCTACTAAAAATACAAAAATTAGGCCAGGCTCGGTGGCTCAAGCCTATAATCCCAGCACTTTGGGAGGCCGAGGCGGGTGGATCACGAGGTCAAGAGCTATTGAGACCATCCTGGTCAACATGGTGAAACCCCGTCTCTGCTAAAAATACAAAAATTAGCTGGGCATGGTGGCGCGTGCCTGTAATCCCAGCTACTCAGGAGGCTGAGGCAGGAGAATTGCCTGAACCCAGGAGGCGGAGGTTGCGGTGAGCCGAGA